AATGATGGCGGGGGCAGAGAGTTGTCTTCGTCACTGCTGGGTTTCAGGATTTAGTTCCTTTATATGAATTAACTAGATACGTTTTTGAATAGCTACTTGATCTATCAATATAACATAGTTGATGGTATGAGATTAAAACACGTTTAGAATAATGTTGTAATTTGCTCCCTTATAGTATCTCTGCACCTAATGGTCTTAAATATTTAAGCTTTCTGTGCATATTTGAAGCACACTTCTCATATATGGATTTTACTTTACATTCAGAAGGTGCCCCCTATAGCTCTAAATGCACAGAAGAACATAAGCGTTCACCAACTTCTTTATTATTAAGGTATCTTTTTTTTTTTTTTTTTTTTAATTTAAGGCATTCTTCCAGAGGGCAGAACCTGTAGGCTTGAGCTGTGTGTCCAGCTTCCCTCTTAGCAATGGTAACATGATTTCAGTGTTTGATACCAATACCGAACTGGCATTAACATTAATAACATTAAGTGTCATTTGGGCATCATGTGTCTGCTACAGAGGCAAGGGAAATTAAAAAAAAATAATAATGTTTTCTAGCTTCCAAATGCCTCTTTACCTGTTGTGCCACTGGTAAGAGGAATATCCTACCCTGATTTATGACCTTTCCAGGAGCCCTGAGACCCCTCAGTGTGAGATGGCAGGAGAGATGCAGGGAGCTCCCAGTGCAGGAATCGCAGCGAGGCCCACGTGGTTTTGTGCCTCATCCCCCAGGAACTTGCTAACTAGGAGGTGCAGCCGCCCACCTACAAGTCCAGGTTTGTGTCTGGTCCACTCCACCAGGAACTCGGGAACTGGGAGGTGCAGCCACCTACAAGTTCAGGCAGTAGCTGAGCGCCGTTTCTGGATCTTGCTGCACATCACGAGATCCCAAACTAAATGTGTTCAGGTCTAATTTTTTTTTTTTTTTTTTTGAATTAGGCTTCAGTGCTTATTTAACTCACTTAAAGTACCTTTAGCTTAAAGTGGAATGACATAATACTGAATCCGTTGTATCAGAGCAATTATCTGCAGATCAGCTCATTATATGTCAGGTTAAAAAGAATAGTATCATCATTTATGGGCTCTGATTGCAAATCTAGGTAATTTCATTCACTTGTCTTAGGAGAACAAGACTTCAGTCATCTTAAGGAATCTGTGCTTTTTTTTTTTTTTTTGCACTTTTTCAGCTCTCAGAATTTGAGGATCTCTGGTTGTGTCTAGAGGACTGAACCAAAGGGAGTGTTTGTGTCTTTGGAGGTGAAGTGCTGCCGTCACCCCGGCCCCGTTTCCTGACTCAGTGCACAGATCTGTACAATGCCAGCCTCAGCACTGGTACAAACTACCAATTGTTGTCAGGAAGACGGTTCTCGATAGATAAAACAGGCTGTAGAATTCAATGATTTATTGTTTCTTTTCTGTGCATGGGATCCCGTTTAATACAGAGCGTGTTTTACCTCCCCTTCTCTGAACAAGCTCCTGTTTGCCCTTACATTAGATGGGTTCTGTTATTGGCTCTACAAGAAACAGGCTGCCCTTAATCAAAGCCAGTCTCTTTTGAAGAAATGTGACTATTAGATATTTGCTTCACGTTCAGCGTTTGAAGCTGTAGGATCGGGGTTATTCTCTCTGAATATGTTTCATCCCATATGTTGGGTGCATTTGGGAAGCCTCCCCCAAGACCTGTTTCCATAAGCAGCTCCCGTGCGCCGCAGCCTCCGCCGCATCCCAGCCAGGGGAAGTCGCCAGGACCAGCTCTTCCCACGTCCCTGTGGCCGTGGAGGCGGCAGCCCCGGCTTGGAAATGTTCACCCCTGCCTGCACGTGGCCACGGCAGCCCTGGGGTCTCATTAAGCTGATGCTTGACTGGCAGAGATAAATACATTTATTTGTCTTCTGTATTGGAAAGCAACACATAAGGTAGCAATGAAACATGTTTGTACGCTCAAAATGACAAGAAACAACTTCCAGGTGTTCCTTTTGTTGACATGGGTTCTTGATTGCTTTTGGTACTCTATCCTTCCAAGTTCTTTTTTTCCCTCATCGGCTTAATTTATCTTCACTCTCTGCACCAGAACACTACCTGCAGAGAGATTCTGACACCGCTGCTTCTGTTAGTGAGGAAATAGCTACTTTTGTGGCTTATACTGGCTTGCTGGTGACATAAAGGGAGATTTTAATTCCTCCTCTATACGCCCAACCTCAGGTACCTTCCTGAGATGGGCTCCTCCTTGTCTAATTTCACCTCTCTGAGCTGGAAGGGAACTAACACGGTGACCAAGTAGTGAATAATTCCCTGCTGGATTAGCAAACTGAAGCAGCTCACGGAGGGTTAACGTGGGCACCAGTGTTCTCCAAGGAGATGGGACTGTGGAAACAAGCGGGGCAGCGGGCGCTCCTGTCTCTCATGAGAAGCTGTTATAGCTGTTATGTTATATTAATTTCCTCATCGTGCTTACACATCTCACAAGGAAAATAGGCAAGCAGCGAAGGAGGAATGTCGTTGGGCACCTGAAAGGGAAAGGGCTGGAACTCGTGCTTTATTTGGCAAATATAGTTTTGATGCTAATTGAACTTCTTGCTTTTAATTGTATTCCTGCAGTTTTCAAATAAAAAAAAAAACAAACATAATTTTAAAATAAAAACACTTTGTTTCAAGGCTGAAGCAAATGTTTTAATTTCATCTTATTTGACCTGAATTTGGGATAGTTTTGGTTTTCCTGGTGTTGTGTCTTGTAGAAAGTGAGCTGTTAACCCAGATATGTGCAGAACTTCTCACTTTTTTCTATTTCTCATCTTTTCCTTCCAGCTTGCTTGTCTTTCCTTAGGAGTTCCCCTAAAGCATTATTAAAATTTGAGCAGCACCAAGGGGAGAGAAGGGGAAAAAATCCCAAATCTCTTGTATATCCCCACTTGGATGTTTTCCGTTATCCTCTGCTCCCCCTTATTTTCTTTGCTTCTGGCTCCATGATTACCAGTTGACCAATTCTAGTGGCTTGCTGCAATCTAGGAATCAGCTTGAAGATCTAAGAAGCGTTTTGATTTCCACTTGCAAACACTCGGTAGCAGTGTCAGCCAGGTTGCTTACTCACACCTCAGGTGCAAAAGGATCCCGTGTCTCGCGCTCTTCCACGTTTTGATGCTGTCCTAAGCTGAAGACAACGTAGTACAGACTAAGCTCAGAAGATTGGCTGTCAGTGTGTATAGGATATCGGGACAGAATATGAACATTTAGTGTTCTGTAGTTTTCTTGAAGTTTAATGTAATTTTTGGATGATGTGATAGGAAATGATCTGTCTTCTTGGGGTTTTTCCTAAAGAGCTGTAGTGCTTGACCTGATTTTGTAAATAGGACTGAGTTAGTCGCACTGGGTACTCCCCAGTTCTTACCAGGTGGTTAAATTAAGTTGACATAGTTTGTACATGGATCAGTTCCTGTATACACAGTGTGTGTCAGGAGCTAAGGAGTTTGCAGTGGCTGCACAGCCGGCCGAAGGAGGCTCTGTCCTGGTGGCCAAGTGCTGGAGGCTGCTTCATGTTGGCCCCTTAAGGGTGCTGTCCACAAGGTGCCCATCGGGATCACGTTGAAGATGAGCGTCTCAGAGGGTGTTTCGGCATCTCAGATATCCACTCCAAGCTGCCCTTATGCCTCCGTGCACGGTCTGGGTGGATGGATGTGTGTCCTGCCCCGGCAGTGCTGTGCTACAAAATCTTATCCGGAGTGGGAGAGAGAGTCACAGCTACTCCCCATTCCAGTGTTTGCAGGGTTTTTTAACAGTATTTTGAGATTATTTAAAATAATTTCCTCCACAACACCATTAGAAAGGAAGATTAAGACTAAATATCTGTTTTTCCTAGTACACTTTTGTCTGTTTTCTTTCATTAGAAACCCCGTGCACGTGCTGTAAGCACAGTTTGGATAGCCCAGTTGCTTTATTCTCTAGCTTCAGCCAGAAACAGGCCTTTTTTAGTAACATGGACCAATTTCAGGCCTTGGCTAAAGATAGGCACGGGCAGTTGAAAGAAAAGTAGTTGAAAAAGGGAATGTAATTGTGGAAAGCATAAAACGTTCGGGGGTCTGCAAACATGTGGGGTTAGATGAGTGTAATCAACGTGTGACAGCTTTACCAATCATGAATGTTAGTTTGCAGCTGTGTGCTCGTGGTGGACGCTGAAATCGGATTAGGGTGTTTGGGGGTGTGCCTTGTAGATCCCCAAAAGATTTGAAAAAATATATGTGTATATATCAATTTTTAGTGGCTGTGTCCACAAATGTTTAGCCCAAGTAATTTGCAAAATCAGTATTCAAGGAAACAGATACACAATTCAGTCTTTTATATGAGAGCTAAGACTAAAATCAACCTATAATACCACAAATATTTGTTTTTCCTTACAGAAGGCATGTTTACTTGCTTAGAGGCAGTTGGCTGCCCATAAGAAAAAAAAAAGGGTATTAATGCAAATGAGCAGATTCTTCTGTTTTGAGTGAAGGTTTTTAACTGCAATTTTATTCCAGCCTGCCTGCTGCACTTTGCAGCGAGTTTTCCTTCTGTGATGGCTCTAGGTCATGACCCACAATGCCAAATATAAAAACATTAGAGTGTAATAAGAAGTAAGCACTTAGTACGGGACAGAGAATTTAATGGAGATTATGCTGGACTTAATGGACTTTATGGAGATAGAGAACTTTCATCTGTATATTGCCATGGTAGTTTATTATTACGGAGAAGGTTAAGCTGACTTTTTATTTCTCCCCTTATTAGAAAAGCCATGCAGTTTTAAACAAAATCCTGACTGTCCTATATTGTATGCAATGTAATTTACCTGCTTGATAGGTCTATAGATGACCAAGAAAGTCATTAAAATAGCTGGTTAGTACAAAAGGTCAGAGCAGAAATCACCATTGGGTCATTAATGGCCAGTGGCTGTAGATTATAAATAGTTATAAAAATATATGTCCTGATTCCAGAAGGTGCTGATACCACTTTTTTTTGTTTCGTTCTTTAGTGAGATAGAAGATGAACTCAGCTGAAATCACTGATGATGATGAAGGTAAAATGTTACAGTTTATGTAATTTATAATGAGGTAAAAGTATATGTTGAATGAAAACTTCTGTAAGCTGATGAAGAATGTAGCTGGATTAAGGAAAATTATATTAATGAGTTAAAAGAAAAAAAACTATCCTAGACATCCTACTCTTTTTTTTTCCCATTGTTTTTTCTCTTATTTTTCCCTTCCTCCCACTAAAAAATAAATAAATAATTTTTTTTTAAAAAAAACCCTACTTTCTTCTTACTATGTTTGTTTATACTTTCAACTCTTCTCCAGGGAAGAAAATGGCATTTACTGGATGTTTACTAGTTGGTCTCTTGCCTAATAAGAACTTGACTTTGGGGTAGTCTTAACATACAGTTATTTTATAAGTGATAAAAAATAGTTATGTTGTTCAAAGTACGTTTTTATAAAAAGAAGCAAAGCACCAATGGTTTGTTTAAGGGTATTGTGGTTTTCTGCAGAGAGTGCTTTATCAATTCTAAACCTTCTCTTTTTCCAGTAGAAATTCCTAAAAAAGATATTGTGAAAGTAGAGACAGAAAACGAAGATGAAGCCCTAGACTGCTCGCTGACGTCCAGATCTTCGGAGAAATCCTCACTGGATGGTGCCGTTTCCTGCGTGCAGGAATCCAACAAGCGGAAACAGGCCCCGCTCGGCTGCGACGGCGCAGGGAGCCAGCAGGATGTCGTATCCGGCGTGAAGAAAAGGCGCTTTACACAAGAGGTGACTTCTCTCCACGCAGCTCTGGCTGTTCTGGGCACATCTGGGAGCCTAAATGCATTGCTGTTACTCCTTGCAAAGTGCAAGTCACCTAACCGGATTTGCATTAGCAATGAATTTGAGTCAAGAGTGGCTGGTCTCATCCCAGGCTGTGCACAGGGCTTGTGTGGATATTTCTTTGAACAATGTGGGTGCTGTCGTATTTAAGAAACGCATCTGTAGAGTAGTTTGTTCATTTGTATTTCTTTTTTTGGTAGAACATAAGAGCAGGTAGTGGATTGGATTAACTAAGTTTGACTCTGATTAAGCTCCTTCTCGTGTCACGCGGCCCTTGAATACTCAGTGGTAGAAGCAGGGCTGTAGCTTTGCCATTCCTGAAATGGATTTTGAGTTCAATGAGTCAAGTATAAATGTACCTGTTGATAGAAAGATAAAAATGCAGGAATGCAGAAGATTTCAACAGATGAAGAATAGAAAGTATTACAAGTTCTGAGCCGGTGCAACATCCCAGTTGTGACAATCCAGACATTTGTCCAGCCAGTGAAGGAGATTCCATAATCTTTTCGGTTATCCTATTCTAGTGTTTCACCTCTCTAACGACTGGGGATAATTACATTAATCTTTTCTGGAAATAGGAATATTTCTCTTCATCCTTGTTCCTTTCAGTAGGGAAAGCTATGGTCATCTTTTTCTGAAAATAGTCTTCTGCACATGGGAAAATTACTGTGATACTGTCCACTTTCAGGCTTCACTTTTCCAGACAAAATTTCAGCTTCAACTTTTCTTCAGGAGTCACTGTAAACCTTCTTCTAACACCCTGTTGAGTGGTAGAAGCCTTGTATTTTATTGTTCTCTTTACAGCTCCTGCAAGGGGAGAGTTCAATCTTTGATAGTGACATCTCCTCTAACACCCTGTAGAACAGCAGAATGACCTCCTGGGTTTCATGCTCAGCACTTTATTAAAATAACCTAGATTCAAATTCGTCCTCTTTCAAACAACTTCAAGCCCTGGGTTATATTTAGGTTATGACCTACTCTAAAACCCATATCCTTTTCTGCTGTTCTGCTGCCTAGCCAGTTATTGGGTTTGTGCATTTCGTTTCTCCTTTCTAGCCACAGCTCTTCAGGCTGGTTTTTCTTGACTTCTCTCTCTCTGACTTCTGAGGTCTCTCTTTTTTTATCCCTGAGTGCCTATGTGGTAGGTAGGCCTGCCTTTTTTATTTTTTTTTTCCTTTCTCTTTTTATTTTTATAATTGTTTTACTTTAACTGTGGTTCTTACGGATTTTACTGTTTGCCTGCAATACATTTTAAATTTTATTTCAAATGAATCATAACCCTAGATTTATAATAGGATCAGAAAGTGCATCAATAACGATGAAAATTCATTCTTGACTGACGCCAGTGAATCAACATCTTTAAAAAACAATTTTAAATAACCAGCCAGAAACAGTCCTCCATAACTTCAGAAAGGTTAACTGTTTCTCTAGTACCACTATTTTATTTTAGTTGATGAATTCACAATATTTTTATTTATTATCAGAAGAGAAAATAATATTTTTGGTAATTTTGTGCTTCTGGTATATTTTTACTGCGTGTCACGCAGACATCAGTTTATCAACTATCAGCAGAGCTCTATTCTTTGCCGTATGGTTATACTAACAGGCTGCTGATTATGGCAATAAGTGATGTCCTATCAGAAAACTTTTCACATTCCTTTTGTCTTTCGGACTGTCACTTACTAACAAGAAGTAAGTTTTTCTCCAAGTTTCTAAAAATATTCTCCCATTTAGAACATTGTAAGTTTTGAAAAAAATCTATGCAAAAGTCGTTTCTGGATTGTTATGTTGGTTTGGGTTTTTTTTTTTCTGTTTCTTGCTCATATATATATTCTGCTTTACTTTACTTGTATGCTAGAATATTATGTTCTGCGTTCTTACAGATATTTGGATTTTTTCCTATAAAGAATTAAATACATCATAAAGTTTTTAATTGTTTTAAAAAAGATTTTAATACTCAGCAAAGCAATGACTAAACAGTTTTTAAAACTTGGCTTAGAATCCTGACAGATAGTGTGAGGATCATTTCACAATGAAAGATCTTGGTTAATATTTACCAAATACTGCATTTTGTAAATGTTAAAAAACGTGTAATATAAAAACTTGCTATTGAAATGCACTATAAAAAGCAGCACCATCTGCTATTCTGAGCTCATTACAACAATCTCTCTGCTAATTTTTGATAGTACATTAAAACTACTCACATACAGTGCATGTGGATGTAGTATTCTTAGAAATACATCCCTGTTTAAAGATAGTGCCTTTAAAATTTATTGTAAATTAATGAAAAAATAGTTTTGTATTAGGATTTCTCAAAAAGCTTTTGTATGTGCTGTGGAAAGGGCTGTTCCCAGCTAGAAGCTGCCTAGAGGCAAGATAATCAGCAAAAGGGAAAAGAAGAGTTCATCTGAATTAAATAATATATAAAAAATACAGGTCCAGGTGTGTTAACACATCAGTCTAACACTGTGTATCATCTGTGTATCATCGTAGTCGAACGCTCCGTGTGTGTTTCTGAAATGCTGCTCTCCAGATTCCTTGCACAATCAGTACCAGCACTATAGGCCAGCATTAGTGGAAGGGCAGCAGTGCTGCTGCCCTTACGGCAGGAGTTGGTCACAATTCTTAGATTAAGCACTTAAAATTTAAGACTTAACTGTCTTTTGGTAGCTCACAGCTACTAACAGCGCGTTCAGCTAAGGTGGCTGCTGCAGTAGAAGGCGCTCTGCAGTGGTCGGGGATGCTCCAGCACTCCGGCTGCTCCCTGTTTCCACGTCAGTTCCGCTTTAATCCCAGTGGGACGGGGCAGGTGGCCTCCAAGCCTCTGTTAGCACTGCTGGTAGTAAGGATCCTGTGAGATACGTTGTGTTTCACAGGACAGGACAGCACGATACACACGTAAGGGCCTTTGCATTACGCTCTTGTTGCACTCCGTGCAGCTTTACCAGGACACAAGAGTTTTCCTTTGTGGGGCTGAACTGATGTGAATGAGAGCAGAGCTCAGAAACACACTTTAACTGAGCTTAACTTTAATATGGATCCCAAAACTTTTCTACCCTAAAAAGGGGTATAATTCTGCTTGTTCTGCTCCAGTCTTTAGGGGTCTGCATTGCTCTAGAAACTAAAAAGTTACTAGAATCCGTTTTCCACTGGAGTAAACAGATGCCATGTGTAGTGACTGCGCAAATGGACCAGATTAATTTTATGTGCTATGGTTTTGGTTTTCAGAAAGGAACCTTCTGATAGGGCTTTTCAGAAAGCTTCTCGTTGTAGGATGTTTTGGGGTCTTTCCTTCAAATTGTTTAAGCCTCTTAGCTGCGACCTTAAGGCCGTTTTTCATCTGTTTTAATACTTGAAGGCAAATTCTGTACTTTTCTTAAATCTAATTAATGTTGTGTGGAAAAAGGCAAGAGGTATGTTTCAGCATGGTCTCAAAAATCTGTTTTCTCATGTTTGAATTCTGTATGTTGGATTTTTTCTACTTAACTTCCTAAGAATTATTTGCAATATCCATGTGTTTGAAAAAAAAATACTAAACTGAATATTTACTGTAAATTGATAAAATGCATGCTTCAGATTTTAAACAACGAGGAAGAGTTAGAAAGTGTTTGAGAACACGAGTCTCTTAAGAACTCAGTGCTATTTATTATATAAACTGTTCAGAAAAATGCAAAACCCAGTGAATTTATGCTTACTTACCTTCCAGAAATAAAGAAATCATAGGCTCCCTTTTAAAAAGACAGTATCAAAATGCTAGTTTTTTACTGTTCGAATTGGGTCCTATTTTAATTTCCCTCATTCTCCCCAAAACCTGCTCAGCATTTGTGCAACACTGTAAAGGTGAAAATAACGTATAAACCTTTCACATGAGGGGGACGAGCATAAGCAGAGCTGAAGTGCCTCCTGTTTTCAGGAGCTAACCTGCCGGGAATGCTGGAACACGGAATGCGGCCGCTGGAGGCAGCGGCAAGGTCACAGGGCCAGGAGGCAGGAACTCTGCCTTCTATTCTTGGCTCTGCTGCTGACTTGTTGCCACCCAAGTCTGCTGCAGCGCCAGAGCCTCGTGTGCGAGGTGCAGGATCGGGACACTTACTGGGGGGCAGGGTTTAGAGCTCGGTGGGGTGAAAGTGCTTAGGGCAGTAATTGCATTTCTGTACTAAGGAGAAAGCCCCTAAGCAAAACAACAAAAAAGAACCTTTAAAAAGGACTCTTAATATCTAACGGTATTTTTAATTCTTTTTTTTTCTAATGTAGTTGTTGATCTGATATATGTAACCCAAATTCTCTGGAGGAAATGTGGCAGTGCATGTTTACTGTTTCCATAATGATAAGCAGTTTAAGAGGCACGTATCTGTAGCCTACATTTTTAAGTCACTCTCACTAACGCAGTCTTTCTCCTTTCAAAGGGCCCCCATTCGAACATGAAGAACCGCGACCCTGGCTCCCCCACTCAGGTGAGTGCCGAGCAGCTAAGCAAGAACAAGAATCCCAACATCACGTGGCTCTGCGAGGAGGAACCCTTCAGCGACATAACCACCCCGTCGTACAAAAAGCCTCTCTATGGCATCTCCCACAAGATTACGGAGAAGAAGAACCCCCCGGGCACAGAGCAGTTTGCTTCCTACGATTTGTTTGACAAGATCAACCCCAGCAGCCCCTCGCACCTTCGGACGCTGAGCGAGCAGCGCAAACGGGACTCCGCCGCCGCCATAGCTGTAACAGCCGCTAACGCGGATTCGGACCCAAATATATATTCTTTGATCCAGAAAATGTTCTACACGCTCAACACCCTCAACTCCAACATGACCCAGCTCCACAGCAAGGTAGACCTCTTGTCCCTGGAGGTGAGCCGGATTAAGAAGCAGGTCAGCCCGGCAGAGCCGGTGGCCGAGTTCAAGCCTCCCCCCGAGTACCAGCTGACTTCTGCGGAGCTCAAGCAGATCATGGACCAGAGCACGTCCGGGGGAGACCTGGCCTGCCGCCTCCTGGTGCAGCTCTTCCCCGAGCTCTTCAGCGACGACGAGTTCAACAGGAACTGCAGCGCGTGCGGCTTCCTCAGCAAGCGCAAGCTCGAGTCCCTGCACCTGCAGCTCATCCGCAACTACGTGGAGGTTTGCTACCCTTCGGTGAAGAACACGGCTGTGTGGCAGGTGGAGTGTTTGCCTCAAGTCAATGATTTTTTCAATAGATTCTGGGCCCAAAGGGAAATGGAGAACAGTCAGCAGAGTGTGCAATCGTCTAGTTTTTATGAGACCGAACAAGTAGACTCTTCGCATTTCATCGAGGACAAGGAGCAGGAGGAAGCTCTGTCCTTGGACAGGAGTGGTGTGATTGCCTCGGATTATGTTTTGGACGCTCAGGATCTCAACGAATTTTTAGATGAAGCCTCCTCCCCCGGGGAGTTTTCTGTTTTTTTGTTGCACAGGTTGTTTCCAGAGCTCTTTGACCACAGAAAATTAGCTGAAAGGTACAGCTGCTATGGAGACTCTGGGAAGCAACTGCTGGATCCTCATCGGCTTCAGATAATCCGCAGGTACACTGAAATTTACTTCCCAGATGTGCAGGAAGAAGAGGCCTGGCTGCAGCAATGTGTCCAGCGAATAAACGATGAGCTTGAAAATATGTATATGGATGGAAGCGAATGTGATCAGATGCGGGATGACTGTTACGATTCCTCTAGTTTACCAGACGATGTTTCAATCATAAAAGTGGAAGACAGTTTTGAATATGAAAAACCCGGCAGGCGCTCAAAAAAAATCTGGCTTGTACCCATAGACTTTGACAAACTCGACTTTCCCCCTCCAGACTTTGATGTTCCTGTCCCCGATTACCTGCTGAACAAAGAGCAAATTAAAAATATATATGAGAGCAGCCTTTCCATAGGCAACTTTGCCTCTCGATTGCTTGTCCTCTTGTTCCCTGAACTGTTTACGCACGAAAACCTACGGAAGCAATACAACTGCAGCGGGTCCTTAGGCAAGAAGCAGCTCGATCCCACCAGGATTAAATTAATTCGGCATTACGTGCAGATCCTGTACCCGCGGGCCAAGAACGACCGCGTGTGGACGCTGGAGTTTGTGGGGAAGCTGGACGAGCGCTGCCGGCGGCGCGACACGGAGCAGAGGCGCACGTACCAGCAGCAGCGCAAGGTCCACGTGCCGGCGCCCGAGCGCAGGGAGTTCCTCAGCTACGCACTGAGCGCCGAGAGGTTCAGAGAGGAGTTCGAGGGGCCGCCCCTGCCGCCCGAACGGAGCAGCAAGGACTTTTGCAAGATCCCGCTGGATGAACTCGTCGTTCCGAATCCAGACTTCCCGGTGCCTTCTCTGTATTTGCTGTCGGATAAGGAGGTGAGAGAGATCGTGCAGCAGAGCCTCTCGGTCGGAAACTTCGCCGCCAGGCTCCTCGTAAGACTCTTTCCGGAGCTCTTTACCCCGGAGAACCTCAGACTGCAGTATAACCATTCAGGTGCCTGTAACAAAAAGCAGCTCGATCCCATCAGGCTGCGGCTGATCCGCCACTACGTGGAAGCCGTCTATCCCGTGGAGAAGATGGAGGAGGTGTGGCATTACGAATGTATCCCGAGCATCGACGAGAGGTGCCGGCGCCCCAACAGGAAAAAGTGCGATATCCTCAAGAAGGCAAAGAAAGCGAAAAAGTGACGGGCTCCTTAAATTCCCGAGACTGCGACCACTAAGTTATTGTGAGGATTGCGCGTTGTTTCGGCTGAGGGGCCTGCCGGGAGCCGAGGACACGCGGCGCCCGGGGCGGTGACGCACCCGGATGGCTTCGTGCCGACCGTGTGCGCTGCATCCGCACGGGCGCTGCAGCGATGGGAAGGGGCTCCCTGCGCTTGTACATGGGCAGAGGTCCTGCAAGTCACCGGGGATGTAGCTGTTGATGACTCATTAAGAACATGAAGTTCACTGGGGCGAGTACATGTATTAATCCTGTATTAGTCCACTCCCCATTTCCGCATCTTCCTTTTTTTATCACTTTCTAATTTTGTTTTTCTTTTTTCCTTTTTTAAATACATCGTGCTCTTCAGGGGCAGTTTTTCATTATACCCTTAGAGACAGGCATTTTAGTTAAGTGCGAGTTTGAGGTTTAAGCTCCATCTAAATTTACACATTTCATAGGTCGTGAAAGTGCCATGTTCCCTGAAAATCATTGGAATACCAGACTTGGCTTCTACAGTCATTGCAGCTCCGCGCTACTTTTGTTCGCGCCGCTACCGAGATGCTGACAATAGCGCTGCCGTGTCCAAAATGGGTCAGAGTGGTGTCTTTTCCATTTTTAGCTGTTACCCGCGTTTTATTTCGTAGCTGAGCACTGGACTGTGCGAGCCGCGGCTCGCGCAGCGGCTCCCGACCGAGCGCTTTGCGCCGGGCCCGCCAAACCCTGCCGAGCAGCAGGGACCACAGAGGAAAACAGAAGGAATTGAAGGCCCTGCTGGCCATCCAAATCATGATTCCAGGGGTTCCCAGGGTTAGCAGCCCAGCGGAGGGGCAAGAAGGACACACGACGGTTGTTTTTATGCGACGGAGCAGGTTGTCTCCCCTGGGAGCTGTGGTGATGTGGCTGCATTCTCAGGCGCTGGGATGTGTCAGCTGCCTCCCTTATCCCAACTGACCTAGGGCAGTTAGGAAGTGTGTGGCAGAGCTGCAAACCTTGGGTGCAGGTGATCAGGTTTGCACCGTTCATATCTTTGCCTGCAGCCAAGATCACCAGGAACCCGGTGTGACTTTGCTCTGTGATTCATTCACTGCAGAGTGCTCCTTAAAAATGACTTGTCCTTCCCTGCTATTGAGTATGGTGAGATAGAGTCACTTTTAGGTCAGTGAAGTCAGCGCTCGCTTAACACTGTCTCTGGAGAGCCTTGGGGCAGTGTGGGCTTCTCTGTGGTCCCTTTTTGTTGTTTACGTAGATGGGTCAGAGTATCAAATTTTAAGTCAGCTCCAGTGTAATTTTCTATTTTAGCGTTTGTAAGAACGTACAAAATACTTGATATTTTTACGTCAGATTTTTAGAGTTTATTCTTAGAATCATATTGGTCCCTTCTATTAAAAAGCAAAAAAAACCCATTTTTTTTCCTACTGACAAGAATTAGCGAAAATGTATTATGTTGAACCAGGAGTAAATCATAATAGGTAGTAGCGTTTGCTCATTTTCCCTGTATTCTAGCAACATTCTCAAAGAATGTATTGAAGGAGGTCATGAATGTACTAAATAATAAGCTGATACTGTTTAAATCCACTTAAATGTTTCCTGTAGGCTTAAATAATAGCAGACCATGCACAAAACGAATATCGGAGCAAAAATGGCTATAATAAAATGCGAACATATTACCAAAGATAAAGAACCAAACCACGTCTACATCTTATCTTTCATTTTAGTGCATAAATTTAGCAACTTGAATGTATCTGAAACATAGACTGTTGGTAATTGTACGCTACCTAGCACCTCTGTGATCTTGTTTTTACATGCACTTTTATCGGAGCTATAAACTGACAGAAAAATATTAACAGCCTCTTAATTGGGTGTTGCGAGTGGCTGACCAGAAGGTAAGAATCGCGAAGTGCAGCTTTCCTCTATAATCCACTCTTACTTATCTTAGTGTCCAATGTGCTTTACAGCTAAGTGATGCTCAAGCGCCCTGAGGAGTGCAGTGTGTATCGTCACCCTTTTGCACCATTGGCAGGTGCTACCAGCCAGCATGCACGCTTGGAACATACTGGCTCTTACTGTAGCTGGTGACATTTCGCAGTATTTTGAATTACCCTCTCTTGATAGGTCAAGAAAAATCAGTTTCCTCCTATTACTAAGTAGTGAAAAACCGATTTTCACCTTTTTAAACTGACATTTTCAAAATGGATGTGGAAAGATGCTCGTTATTTTTTTTCTCTTAATTTCTAATAACTGTGTACATTCCTTTTATCTCCCTCTCCATAAGCCTTTCATGATTCTTGTTTGATTGTATATTTTATGACTGATGGAAAGAAAATACAGGCATATGAGCAGCGACATAGCTCCTAAAAAAAGCTCTTCCAGTGCACCTGAAGTCCAGCCACTTCATCCAGTTTGTCCGCCTTGTAAATAAATTAAAGGTATATTATTTTCATACAAGAGCAATGTTGTCTGGTGATTGCTTGAGTGGAGTGACACAAGCAGTGAGCTTTTTCCTAGGAAGTGTGGTATCGAGGTGACGTTTGCCAGTCAGACTGAATACATGAAGGAAAATACCCTCGTTTCTTGGGACCATTTAGAAAAATATATATATTTTTTGCAGTAGTCTCCTTAAAGGAACAAACTCGCCCTTCTGAAAGCGAGGCTAAGAGGGGAAGGTTGCTGGAGTCTACCTGGAGATGTGGCGCACGTGTAACCCTAGGCACACCGATGAACGTTACCTACCAGGTCAATAGACCCTGTTAAGGTGAATACAGAGTGTCTATATCTGCTCTTTATAACTTAATTGTATCACCTATGATTCGCATTGAATAGCTGGCTGCTCATAGCCCCCTAAAAGAAGCAGTCAATGTATTTGAGCCTGTATTTTTGACTGTCCGCTTCTGCCAAGTTGAAAGCCTTCTTGGGAGCGCTGTGAGAGCTGCCCGGGGCCGTGCAGGGGCAGAGGACGGGCGAGTTACAGGGCACGGCCTCCGCTGGGGAGCCGGCTCCGCCAGCAGCCACACGCGCAGCCGCAGCTTTCCACACAAGAGCAAAGCCTCCGCGTGGAGCCAGCCGCCCTCTGTGCTCGTGCGTCCGCTGCCGAGGTGTTTGGAGCTCCTGGAAATGGTTGCATTGCTTCTTTCTAAGTGCATACGATCCGTGACTAGATGCATCTTTACAGAATCCGTCGTTTTGGTCATTGTTTAGTGTTTGTGTTACAGGCGAGAGCAGTGAGAATGAGCCCAAAGGCACAGGTAGCGGGGCGGGTCTGCTTTTACGCTGAAAATAAAACCTTGATTCTAGAGGCACAAGCAACATGGAAACAACAGGCGGGTTTTACTGATGAATATTTATTTGTTTATCTTTTATTTCAGTGATTAAGTGGATGTGAAACAGCTGAAAAATTCACTATGCCTTAAGCTTGCCTGTGTTGGTGATGTAGCACGAGCTGACAGGTGCTTCTACTTACCCTGCATGTTCCAGGTGACTGCGCTTCTAGTCTGTGGGAAAAGGTGCAGGGTGGATTCAAGCCGGGTTTTTTATTTTTCTTTCCCCTGAGTAAATCAAAGAAAGTCCATCAGAGTCCTTGACCCAATGTATTTACCTCCCTCGTTTGCCTTGCTGATTTTTCTCCGTTATTACTGGAGCCAATCTAGTCAGATTTCTGGTGAAGATTCTGGGGGAAAAAATGTTTTAAATGTGTGCTGTTTGAAATGCAAAGCTGAAATCATGTTTTTCTTCCCTTTCTTAATTCACCACAAGAAGCATGGAAATCCTCATCTTTATGCCTTCCTTCCTACCTAATTCCTTCTCATAGTAAATAGGAAGATAAATTTCTCATTCCCACAGTGCCTTTCAACCCTTCAGTTTTACCCAGTTTTAACTGGTGGACCTGCAGGTAGGTTTAGGTACGTTCTCCCTGCAAGCCTACCTATATATCCCATACCAAAGTCTTGGCTGTAACAGGTGAAGCAGACTGGTGTGGGTCTCGCTCCAGCCCTTTCAACGCTGAACCTGCCACGGGTTTTCTCACCCCACATCGCAGGATCCTGAGGAAGTTTTCCTTTCTTTTCCCGCTCTGGGCTGGCCTCCCTGGTGGGTCAACGCTGTAAGCCTTATAGGTGCCTGCTCCCACCTTTGCCTTTCTGTGCAGGGGGCTTTGCTGGCTCTTACCCCTAGGAGAGGGCCAGCTCTCTGTAGGAAGCGCTTGCCTGCTGAACTTCCTAATGAGCTTTCCTGGGAGCTCAGAGCCAAGGGTTTGGCTTGACATTGGATTCATGTTCTGGGCAAGAATATCCAGGAATAAGCCTCCCCCTGCTGCTTCCTGTACCAAATGTTTTGAACGAGGAGATTTCCGCTACATTCTGCCAGGTGCTGGACGTGCTGTTGTCCTGCTTACCAGAGCAGGCTCTTCCAGAGGCCGCCTTCCATGCCACCATGCTGGGCCCAAGCGGTTCCTGCTGCGGGCGGATGCGACGCTGCCACAGTGTGTCCCACGGAGCTCCTGTCACGAAGGGGACAGCGGTTTCCCAGGCCAGAGCTGCTCCGTGTGCCTGGACTCCTGGGTGGAAGCAGCCCATGTGCGTGTCCTTGGAGCCACACGGCACGAGCCGCTTCCCAGCAGCGCTGCCTGACCTTTGCTCGGAGCTCTATGGCACCGAAGCAGCGAATATCCTCACACCTGCCAGCCCAAACGGGCATCGGACGGAGGCTGAGACTTGGTTTCCTTGTGCACAATCCGACGACAAGGACGAGCACTGCTGCCCGCTTGCGCTCGTGACAGCGGAGAGCACCTCTGCCTTCCCTCCCCGCCACGGGTTCCTGCCGCAAACAGGGCCTGTTTGTGCCGCTGCTGGAACAACTGGTACCGCTAACCAGGATCCAAACAGGAATTAAAAAAAAAAAAAAAAAAAAGGAATTTTGCAAAATCGTGACTTTACATAAGTATTTTCTGAGTCTTGAGATAAAGCCAAGAAGTTTATCCTGCTTACGATGACAACTTTGAGGTTACTTAACATAACAGGACAGCAATTAAACAGTGATCAAATTAGCCTTTATTCAATCTTTTTATATAACCTCTGTTTGGCGAAACGCCCTGGAAATGTAGAAGTTGGGTCTTGTCTGCAGCAAGGCCACGGAACAGCACTACTGGCAAGAGGCACAGGCTGGGCACAGGCCTGCTGAGGCACACAACACTAGCGCGAGCCCTTAGGAAGGGCACCCTCCTCTTGTTTAACCAAAATCCGCATTTAACAACAAACGACGGGCTCTTCTACAAAGAAAGTCTCATGCCGGCACGTGCAGGCTCCTGCTACTTAAGCACATCCTGTTTGGGCACTTTCAAGTTCTTCCAGCGCCTCAGAATTACTTTGTATTTCTCGCTCTCAGTCTTGTCAGATACTTTTTTTAGGACAACACGCATAACGACAGCAGTTCCCGTTTCCTTGTCTTCCCCTACCAGAAGATCCAGCGTGTCACCGATTTTCACCTGCAAAGAGAGAGCGGAGACGGGCGAGGGTGAACGCTGTGCGGGGAGAGCAGCCTGCCGCCGGTTCCGGGCCGCTCCGAAGGGAGCGGGATTGGGATTGGGATCGGGAGTGGGGCTTCCCGCTGCCGTGGTCCCTGCGGGCCCACAGGGAACCCACGTGGCTCCCCGCAGAGCCAGGGGGTTCTGCCTCCCCGGGCACCTGCCAAGAGCCGCTCGGCGGCGCCCCCCACCCGCCAGCGGCAGCCACAAGGGGCCTCGGCCGCTCTCTCACACCCTGGGGCCGGTATTACCATTGTAAAAAGTCTTACAGTTCTACTTTTCTTCCACAGTTTTTCTCCGTTCAGCCTGAGTTCATTGTTGTAGAACGCATCTTCTACTTTACTGCAGGGAAACAAGGTTTTATTGCGTTTGCAGCGCGCAGCAAAGCGAGAACGCGTTTGTTTCTGCACACCCAAGAGCCCTGCTCACGGGCAGGACACGCTTCCCCTGTCTGGTTGTGCAGAGAGGACACGCTCGCTTTAGGGCAGCACAGACCTGAACTGGAAGCAAAGCCACAGCTATTAAATGCAGCAATTCACTGTGGTCCTTCTACAGCACAGCTGCAAGCAGTAAAAATCTGTTTCTAAAGACTTGCCTCCTAAATATCCAAGAGATAATGTCCCCTCTCCTGCACCAGTCTGCAATCATTTTTTAAGGATTAAGCAGCACTGTTACTATGTTGTAACATAAAGTTTCTGTGGGTTGCACTAGATCGTGATACACTTTTAGAGTGCACCTATATCTGGTTGAGCTGGTATGTTAAGTTTATACCTCACCTGTTTCTACAGCCATTTAACAGCACATTATTTTATCCTCTGAGAATAGATTTTTGTACTACTACTTACAGTACTGTATTTTTTTAATTTAAATAGATAATTGCATAGATAAATGCAGCCTTAGAAATACTGTGGATGGTGATGAGAGCTGAAACAGGAAGCCTCAGGTAGAGAAGGTGAAACAAATAAGCACACCCCACATGTGCAAAACATACTCACACCTCAAACATTACATACAAACATATCCCCAAGCTATTATTATGTAGTCAAAAAAGCCACCTCAGAACACAAGCACGGCGCTATTCCAGCAAGGAAAAGGGTAACTCGGAGCTGCAGGCCACGCTGCTCACCTGCCGGCTAACACGCTTCCTCCATACTTACTTTCTTGCAATGTCTAGTCCGGATTTCATGATTACATCGTATCGCAGAGACTGCACTACTTTCTCGAGATCCTTGTAATTTTTCACTATGTCGGGGTCATCATCCAATTCCTCCTCTGCCTCGCTCTCCTCTTCCTCCTCCTCCTCCTCCTGCTGCAGTGTCTGTTTATTCCTTTTGGAGCTCTTGCTGCTCTTGTTCCGCAGAGCCAGCACCGAGCTCCGCTCTGGAGAGAGTCTCACGGCGCTCGGTCCGGCCGGGGAGGCGCTGGGGAAGCCGAGGGAGCCGCCGGCGCGCGCCTGGCAGCTGCCCTGGACGCTGCTCCTCCACGCAGGGCACAGGCCGCGCGGGGGGAGCCTCCGCCACAGTCCAAAGCAGCCGGGCAGCTTCCTGAGGGCAGCGACGGGGAGCCTGAAGCCGGTCATAGCATCGCCTGGAACACACGGGGCTGCTCTGCGCGGGGGCTCGGGCGTCCGCAGGCCCCAACGCCCCCGGCCCGCCCGGCTCCGTCCTGCGGTTGAACCGGCGTGCGGGGCAGAGCGACTGAGCGCCGGGCACAGCGGGCGCGGAGGCCTCCCCGCGAGGCCGGGCACCAGTGCACTTGGCCTTGGCGGCACGGGGCTCGTCCCTCGCGGAGGGCCAGAGCCAAGGCGCCAGGCACGGAGAAGGGAAGAGATACGTGTGTGCGTGTGTGTGCATATACATAAATACATAAATACATATATGCTTGTACTACGGCAAAGAGGCCGGCCTGGCTCTCGGCGGAGCCGGGGCGGGGAGCGCAGCGGAGCCACGCGCCGCTTCCCAGCGAGGGGAAGGCCGTTACCGCGGCTCCGGCGGCCGTTACCGCGGCTCGCGGCGGCCGTTACCGCGGCTC